CCACAAATGCTAACTTACAAAATAATGTACAAAGAAGTGTAAGTTTAATCCTATGTAGTATTTATCTACCCAAGTATATATCACCCAATTATTAATAAATTAATTGCACATGTGCATATATACAGCAGAACTCCAATTATCCGAATTAATGGCGACCGGGACCCATTCGGATAATCAAATATTCGGATAATCGGAGTTTTTTTTAAAAATTGCCATTGGAGAGAAAAAAAAGTTACGTTTCGATATTGCACTATTTTTTTATTGAATTAAATGAAAGAAACATGACATTTTCACATGTTTTAAATATAAATAAAATGTACTTAAACGAGTTAAAAAAAAAAGTACCAGTTTAGAAATAAAAATCTTTGTTTTGCAAACATCTCCGTCAAATCAAAACAAACAATGTGCCTACACTGGCTTTGCTGGTGGAAGAATAATAGCGCACTTAGACTTTTTTTGGACAATTTTTTTTCTGAAAGTGATTCGGATAATCGGCGATTCGGATTGTCGGAGTTCGGATAATTGGAGTTCTACTGTATATATATCTGTGTAGTGTGTCTCCTCTTCAGTCTACGCACTATTTACGCAGTAACCCGCAACCCGCACCGGTGCTCGCAGACGCACACGCGTGCGAACGTGCGAATCGATCGACCAAAGGCCAAGACCGAAATAATACACAACACAAAACCTTTGCGAAAAACAAAAATCGATGCGGATTTCATTAGCCAATTCAAAACGCGACCAAAACTAAGTAACAGGTGGTAAGAATATCAGGACCGAAGATTTGAAATGATTTTGTGAACTCAGTGACTAACCTACCTCCCATCCTATTGATATACATTAAGACGAAATGTGTTAGCGTACTTTCGAATAAATTTTATCGTTAAATTTGACACTGGGGAGACGTGGCATTAGCTAGTTGTTGGCGGCATTTTGCCCTCCTAATAATCGACTCAGTCTTAGAAACTTTTCAAATTTGAAACTTCGAAAATTTGACATAAACCATTGCTCAAAACTTTGACGATGCTCATAATTACCACATACTTTTGAATCTAATTTTCTTTAAAATGCTCAAATTCATTACGATTTCCAAAATTAATCAACATTTGTAAAGTTGATCAAAAATTGATCTTTGCCAATATCTAATCAAAACCTGTTTTTTTTTTATATTTGTTACACTTGTTATTAAAACATCTTGTAACATTACATAATTTTGATTGAAATAAATGTATAAAAAATGTAAAATCAAACAAAACAAATCAAATCAAAATGATAAGAACGATAATAATAGTAATAATAATCAAAAAACTTGTAAAATGTTTTTATCCCGTATCTCCGAAACGACTGGACCTGCCTATGCCAAAAACTAATCAAACACGTCTCCACTCCATCAACAAAAATAGAATGTTTTTTTTTGAATCACTTAAATCAGTAAATCCGTGCTCTCGAAATCGTCGATAAACATTTGTACTCGCACATACAGATACACATCCAGTTTTCTAAGATACGCCAAAATGTTCAGAAACCTTTGAAACGTATAGATAGACAAAAAATTCTTTTTCGATTTCCTCTAGGAAGTTAATAAAACATTAAAGAACTATTACATTAGAATAAAAATAATACAGATAAATATAATAATTATAAAGAATGACAAAGATTTTTAGTCGCCAAAGATTCAAAATATGTAATTTGAAATGCCGAGAAAACAAAGGATATCAGACTGTACTAGTGAAAATTCTAACAATTGGCAATGATAACAAAAAACAGAATAAAATTGAAGTAAAACTTTATAATTCAACAAAACCCATAAAACTAAAATTAATTCTGAAGTATCTTTTGACTAGGAAGCAAAATTATAAACAATTGCAACAACTATACATACACACAAACATACATGATGAAAGCCACTCCGAAGATATCTACCACAAATTTTAGAAACATAACCAAAAATTCCTCGAATAACTTTGAATAAACTTGTGAACTCACTGACTATACATACAAACATCAAATTGTTTTTATAGCAGCACTGATGAATTTTAAAACTGTACCCTGACAAACAATTTAAAAAAATTCCCAGGCCACATCACAAAAAATTTAACATGAACCCGAAACAAATTCATCATCACGGGTCAACAATATTCATGTTTTTGGTTGAAGTTTGTAATTTCAGTAATAGATAAACAGCTTGCTTATGAATAATAACTATCCGAACTAAAAATGATACGATAAAAACAATAAAGCAATAAGAGCAGGTATGCAGTATTAGTCGTCTCAGAACATAAATACCAAAATTCTACTCTATATTAATATATTAAAATTTATATATTTTTCACAGAAATATTAATGGAAGTTCATGAATTGTTAATACGAGGGCATAAGTTGATGCAAACTAATGTATCACACCTTCTTATACGTTAGTGAACTGTTTTATATACATAACCTCTCAATTCCCATTGATATCAAATGAATCAATTTTCCATTGAAATTATATAACCTCAAAATAATTATGTAGAGTTTCAGGGCAAAATAGAAACACTACGTAACATTGTTTACAGTTACACATATAAACGATTGCAAATCATCCTTTCAAACAAAACTTTGTTAGTTTTTTCACTATTCTATTATGGCAAATCATATAACCAGCTTCTTAAAAGAAAGCAAATCATGTGTAATACAAATCTCAAAAACTTCCACAAACGACTTAAATGAATTTGGCATACCAATAGAATTTCTTTTCTTCAAATCCTAATCACAGAAATCTTCATTCAAACCCGATTTAAATTGATCACGAGCCCATAATATTCATAGTGTTTGCAATAACTTAAAATACAAAAATTACTAAGATCTGTTCGTTACTAATTCATATCTTGTTTCTGTTTTCTATTAAAATGGAAAGTTTTCTATTAAAATGGAATGATTAGAGATTGCTTTGCAAAGAAAATGACTACAATTTACCGCTTTGTTCATGAATTTTCACTACAAACTATGTTATTACAAATACCTATGTTATGGACCTGCTCACAGAATCATTATGAAAAATTGATCACGAGTCTACAATATTCGTGTGGCTTGGAACTTTCAGTAATATTAAGTAAACAGTCTGCTTTAGTAAGCAGTCTGCTTAATAGTTTGATGAATCAAAAAGTTGAAGCTAAAAATCAAAGGTAATGCGTTAATAAGTATTTCTGAATGGAAAGATTCATACCAAAATAATGGAGTAAGGAAGAGAATGACTATGAATTCACCAAGTCGTTACAAATTTCTTTATCATGGATATGCTATTTTTGGCAAATGATGCACTTATTTAGTGCAACATAAAAATATGCACTCCCATATTCATATGCATAAGGGAAAAAATAAAGAACTAAATTGGTATATATAGAAAAACAGAAGTTTTTTTTTTACCAAAATGGAGCAGGATTAAGTACACAACTTTTTAGAAGGAAATGACTAAATTCATACCTTGTATATGAATTTACAATGGAAAATTTTCTACCAAAATGGAGTAAGAAAGAAAATGACTGAGTTCACCGAGTCGTTGCAAATTTCTTTACCATGGATATGCTAAATTTAGCAAAAGATGCATTTATCAACTGTAACATAAAAGCCAAAGGGTAAAAATAGATGAATAGAAGTAAATCGGTAATAGATCTAGAAAAACAGAAATTAAGCAAATAAATTGAAGCATTTCTGAATTGATTTTTTTTTTATCAAAATGGAGTTATTAAGTTCACAATAGTATACAACTTTTAGGTTTAAAAAAATGACTAATTTCATACCTCGTACATAAATTTACACATCAAACTAACTCCACGAAACTTTAATGGAAAATTTTCAAAATGGAGTAAGATTAAATATACAACTTATAAGAAAAAAAATGACTAATTTCATACCTTGTACTTGAATATATAGGACAACTGGGTTATAAATTCCTATGTTAGGAGATTGCTAAATTTGGCAAATAATGCATTTATCTACTGTAAAATAGAAAAATGCCAAAGGGTCAAATAAATGAATAGAAGAGTATTGATAATACATAAAGAAAAATAGAAGTTAAGCAAATAATCTAAAGTATTTCCAAATGAAAAATGTTCTATCGAAATAGAGTGAGATTAATAAGTATACAATAGTATAGGAATACTAGTTACACCTTGTACATGAATTTTCAATGGAACGTTTTCAATCAAAATGGAGTGAGATTAGGTATACAATTTAAGGAAAAAATGACTAATTTCATACCTTGGACATCAATTTACAATGGAAAATTTTCTATGAAAGTGGAGTGAGATTAGGTATACAATAGCATACAACTTTTAAGGAAAAAATGTCTAATTTCATACCTTGTATATACATGAATTTTCAATGGAAAATTTGCTATCAAAATGGAGTGGGTTCAAATACATAATTTGTAATTTCATACCTTGTACATGAATTTTCACGTCAAACTGAGTTTTTACACACTCCCATGTTATAGGTATGCTAAATTTACCAAATTTATGCTGTAACATAAAAAAAATGCCAAAATAAGTCACATAACCAAGAAAAACGCCAAAAATCCCGTCCAAAATCCAAATTATCCCCGTGGCGTCCTTTTAACCAACATTTTTCACGCCGAGCTTTCCCGTGCCAAAAACCAGTCCACAAATCAACAAAATCAATTACAATTATATTTAATGAAATTTCGTTTAAAATTTTTGCCTCGAAAAAAAAAATTCGTTCGGCCATGACCGCCGACAACGAGTCGGCTTGGGGTCGCTGGCCGACAGCCGGTCATAGAATCTGCCACATGTCTAAATAGTAAAATAACCTCACCAAGAGCCCCCAAAACCACAAATAAACTCAATCCGCACCGAATGCACCACAAAATCACAGTCCATGGTAATAAATCGTGCTTATATTACACGTCGTTTACTTGTAGTATGCATGACCTTATTATACTACGTCACTTCAACACCGTTTTATACATGTAATATTGATAGGATGTTTATATTTGTACTTACCCCTTTTCATCATCGTCCATGTCTTGGGTCATACGCATAACTTAGTTTAAAATTAAATTAAAACTACAATAAACACCGGCAACCAACACTCCTCTCTCTTCTGACAAGCAAAGCCTTCACTAATGATGGAGGATAAACTTCATCCGCTTCTCGGTGACGAATTACCACAGCAGTATGACCACACTCGCTTTTAGAAAAAGATTGGGAAAAGGAAAATAAAGAATTTACTGTACAAGTATACTACCAATTATTATCAGACATTTATGATTAATTTTTGTGTGTTACGCTAACTTATAATAACACATGTTCTAACTCAAACTAAAATGATTTTATTTTGTTTTTACGATTACTCTACTGGCTAGCCTTCCGGTAATTCATGGCCTACATGACGCGCGCTGTCGGCGCACGGGGATTGCCAGATGCGAAAGCGGCGGCGCGAGATTCGAAATGGGTAAATGACACATTCGATATAATATTTAAATTGGTGTTTGTATCATTTGATTTATTTTGAGAGTGCTGATTGATTGAAATAAAAATAAGGTGATTGTAAGATTTATATAATAGAAATTGGCAATTAGCGTTTGTTTTTATATCGTGTTTTAACATGCTCTACTCACTCTTTTTCATTTTTAACAGAAACTAGATAAAATTTACTGCAAATTCATATCTGTCTCTGATTATTATTTTTTTGTTTTTTTTTTAGACATTTTTGACATTATCAGTGATTTTTTATAATTATTTGTATGATTAGACTAAATTTAGGAGAGTGAGTGCGTTTTTAAGATGTTTCAGGATAATTTTTTAAATTCTTTTAAATAATGTGAAAATTTCCAAAATATTTCATGACCAAAATAACATTTTTTGACAAAAAAAGTCCATTTTTTTCAAATTTAAAATTGGACAGACATTTTTGCTAGAATACAAAAATTTTGCTTAAAAATAATTTAAAATTGCACCTCATTTGTAATTATGATTCCAAGACATCTTTCTAATTTTTTTAAAATAACATAATTTTTAATTTATGCACTCTTTTTTATTAGTTTAACAGAAACTAGTTAATATTCACTACATTTCTAATTAAACTGTTTTGTATGCTTCGATACAAAAATATTGTATAAAAATAATTTAAAATCGCACTTACTTTGTAATTATGGATTCAAGACATTTTTCGAATTTTTTCAAAATAACATATTAATTTTAATTTGTGCACTCTATTTTGTTAGTTTAGCAGAAACTAGTTAAAATTTACTACATTTCTTTATAAACTGTTTTATATGCTTGGATACAAAAATATTGTATAAAAATAATTTAAAATTGCTCTTAGTTTGCAATTATGGATTCAAGACATTTTTCTATTTTTTTTTTAAATAGTATAAATTTTAATTCAGGCACTCTTTTTTATTAATTTAGCAGAAAGTAGTTAAAGTTTGCCATATTTTCTTATAAAATGTTTTGTATGCTTGGATACAGAAATTTTGTATAAAAATAATTTAAAATTGCTCTTAGTTTGTAATTATGATTCCAAGACTTCTTTCTAATTTTTTTTAAATAACATATAAATTTCAATTTGGGCACTCTTTTTTGTTAGTTTAGCAGAAACTAATTAAAATTTACTAAATTTTCTTATAAAACGTTGTACATGCTTGGATACAGAAATTTTGTATAAAAATAATTTAAAATTGCAATTAATTTGTAATTATGGATCCAAGATATTTTTCGAATTTTTTTTAAATAACACAAAAATTTGAATTTGTGCGCTTTTTTCTATTTAGTTTAGCAGAAACTAGAAAAAATTCACTAAATTTTCTTATAAACTGTTTTATAAACTTTATACAAAAATTTTGCATAAAAATAATTTGACACTGCACTTAAAATGCAATTATGTATTTAGGACATTTTTCTAAATTTCTTAAAATTACTCAATACCTTTGTTTGGAACACTCTTTTTTATTTATCTTGGCAGAAACTAGATCAAATTTACTACATATCCTTAAAAACTGTTTTAGATACCCGGATGCAGAAAATTCGTGTAAAACGAATCATATTTACCTTAATATATTTTGCAAATTTCAGTCATGTAGGACATTTTTTCACATTTTTTTTAAATGATACAAAAATTTTGTTTTAAACACTTTTTTCTAATTAACTGAGCAGAAACTTGATAGAATTTACACCATTCCCATATAAACTGTTTTATATGCTCGAGTACAAAAAACTCAAATAAAATAAGCTTTATTCACCCCTATGAATTTTGCAAATATGAGCTACGCAGGACATTTTTTCACATTTTTTAAAATAGTATGAAAATTTTGTTCCAAACACTTTTCTAATGAACAAACTAGATAAAATTTAATGCATATCCTTAAAAACTGTTTAGATGCTCGAGTACAAAAATTTAGAAAAAAAAAGTTTGACTCCCTTCTATGTATTCTGCAAATTTCAGTTATGTAGGTCATTTTTTCAGATTTTTTAAAAATATTATGAAAATTTTGTTTCAAGCACGCTTTTCTAGTTAGCTTAGCAGGAACTAGATAAAATTTACTGCATTTCCCTAAAAACTATTTCAATAGTTCCGATACAAAATTTTAGAGAAAAAAGAGTTTAACTCGCCCCTATGCATTTCTGTTAATATCAATTAAGCAGAATTTTTTTACATTTTTTAAAAATAACACGAAAATTTTGTTTTGAGCATTTTTTTCTAGTAAGCTTGGCAAAAACTAGATAAAATTTACTTCATTTTCATAAAAACTGTTTTAAAAGCCTGGATACAAAAACTTCATATACAACAAACTTTATTTGTCCTTATGCAGTTTGCAAATATCACCTATGCCGGACATTTTTTCAACTAACATAAAAATTTTGTGTCAAGCACCCTTTTTATTTAGCTTAGCAGAATTTAGATAGAATTTACTTATATTCTGTATAACCCATTTTATATACTCTCATACAAATATTTTGAATAAAAGGAATTTGAAATTGTAAATTTGTGAGACCTGTTTCTTAAAATATAATACACATAGCTTAAAAACGCCTATTTATTTTAAATAACTCAATCACTTATGAATTTTGTTCAGATCAAATATTTCTTTTATATTTGTATTTATGTTTATAAATTTTATTATCAAACAATATAATTTATTCCTGTTCTATTCCAATTCCAAAATATATATTTTAAGATAAGCGTCTTTTCAGAAATGTTGTAAATTATCCAGGTGTTATTCAGCAAAATCATCATTTGTTCCACATAATTCAAACAAAAGTAGAAATTAATGTGCTGCTCAAGTAATACATACATACATATATATATATATATATATATATATATATAATATATATAAGGTTGTCAAATATCTCCCTTCCGCCTTTTTGTATTATAAACCAAGAGCAAAAAAGCGGAAGGGAGATATTTGACAACCTAATATATAATATGTGTATATTAGTGATGTGCCGACTCGAAAAATTCCTGATTCGAATGATTCGAATCAGAAAAAAACCTGATTCGAATCATGATTCGAATCAACTCGAATCAAGTATATATATGGACAAAAAAAATCATGGATGTATTAATTTAGTAAAAGTGATCCAAATTTATAATCAAAATTGTCAGTTTAACCAATATAACCGACAAAGTAGAAATTGTAAACATAAATTACTATCAAAAAGTATATTCTGAAAATTATTAAAAATGATATAATTTTGAAGACGGCTGAAACATATCTTCAAATTAATTTACCATAATAAATTACCAAACAATTGTGCATAACTAAAGTATATAAAATAATATTTGGAATCATGGGTCGATTGTTTATTTTACTATGTAATCAGTAAAGGATCGCATCTAAACTGAAAGTTAATTTAATTAATGTGAATTTGCCATTACTTACATAATCAGAAGTTAATATATTATTTACTGACTTTCTGATGTTTAGTAATTGTTTCAAAAGAGAATTATATTGAAAGATTCCCGAAACTCGTTTCATAATTTCGAGTGGTTTATTCTGATAACATTTAAAATCTAAAACACTTAATTATTATCAAAATTGGGTATTGATATTTCACGAACAAAATCGCTCTCAGCTCTCCGTAAAATAAATAAACATGCAAGAACGACGACGCATTGTATCGCCCATACGGTTAACTCATATCGCTTGAACGGCTTGAAGTCGGGATGATTCGAATCAGAGTTGAAGTCGGAACAACTCATATCGCCGCTTGATTCGGTTTGAGCCATATGAAGTCGAATGATATAGTTAGTCGATGAATGCGGTTAAAGTCATATAAAGACGATTGGAGTCGGCCGATACATTTAAGCATATTAAAGTCGGGTGGCTCGCATGATTTAATTCATTATTTATTTTTTATATTTATGATATTTATTTTTTATATTATTATAATATTGAATTAAATTAAAACATTTTTTTTATATTTATATTTATGAAAAATTTTATATTTATGAAAAATTTGTGTTAATACATATTTTATCACAGTAAATATTTTGCGGCTTGATACGAGTTGATTCGAATCAAGTAAAATCTGATTCGAATCAAGTCGTTAAAGGCTTGATTCGAATGATTCGAATCACTTGATTCGACTTGGCACATCACTAGTGTATATATATATACTTATTTATTAATTTATTTATATATATATATAAATAAATAAATAAATTATTATCTCCCTAACATGTTTTTTGAGCTATGACTATATATTCCTATTATTCAAACACCTGCAGTATTCATACCCACTTTTATTTCTTTAAAAATAACGTTGTTTTATCTAAATATTCTTACCTAACTTAAAACTACTCATATCAATCTATTAAATGATTTTCATTTCCTTAATTTAAATCTAGCAGGTCATATATAAATTAAATTTTATTTATAATTTATGCACGAAGCGATAAGAACTGTTGGAACACTTCCAGGATGTGATGATCGATGTCTTGTGTGAAGAGCAGAGTCTCCAGCGTTGTACTGTAAATCTGGACTTGCTCATGATGCTAAAAAAGATAATAGATACATAAATATATATTATTTTATTATAGTACTAGTGTATTTTGATACTTACAGCTAAAAATACTTGTTGTAGTCTGCCGATGGTCCAATGGAACCAGTGTGTATTGAAATCGGTTCCATCGGTGTCACACCTGACAAGATATTCGGATAGAATCATTATAAACCTTTGGAAAATAATTAAAAACAATCGCTTCTGGTCAACGTAGGCTGCTTCCACCTTTTCTTCCATCCTTTCTACCATCTAAAAGAGACACGATAAGATAAATAACTAGTGGTGTATGGCATCGTGCTTAAGGCAAATTGCTGGAACAACTTTCCCTACCCAAAAAAAATTTTTTTAAAAGGTTCTAAGGTATGCCAAAATATTCAGAAACCTTTGAGACGTAAAGATATGAAAATTTTCATTTTCGATTTTTGAAAATTAAACAAAAAGTTTTGAAGCAATTTTTTTTCCCCGAAACATCTTTTCGTCAACACAAGCAGAAAGTTTTTTGAATCATTCAAACTGAATGCTTAGTTCTCTCAAAAACTGCAATTTTTGACTTCGCCCATTTAAAAGCTAAGTATAAAATCAAGGTAAGAATGATAATATTTTAGATCCTCGTACCGAATCCGACATACCCAGACAAAAGACCTAGTCTGGAATGCGTAAAGGCATTTCCTTCGCTATACAAAAAAAACAAACACATACATACACACAACACCGCACATCCATTTTTCCTAAGGTATGCCAACATGTTCAAAAACCTCTGAAACGTGATGATATGCAAAAAATTTCAATTTTGATTTTTGGGCGATTACAATAACGACTCACATGGCTTATTAAACTAGTTGGTATTGGTATTTTGCCTTGAGGCAAGTTACATGAACTTCCCGATATGTGTAAATAATCGACTTAATTAATAAAAAATAAATTAATTTATGAGTGATTAAAAGTATTCCGAGTGTTAACTCTCGGAATATTTTCTAAAAGAAAAAGCAATTAATAATTGTTTTTATAATTGAACCAGTTTCCGTAAGACTTTAATTGTTTAATAAGACTTTAATTGTTCATTTAGTGCAAGTACTCTATCATTATACCAAGTAAATTGTCTAATTTTAATTTTAACAAACTTCAAAAAAACTACTCATTTTCTCAAACTCAAACTTTGATGAATTTTCAAAATTAAACTACTTATCGTAATATTTCAGTAAGTCCTATAAGACCAGGATATATATCGCCAAAAAAATTTCCATAAAAATCGGCTTAAATTTGTTTTTTAATAGTTATTTACAAGAAAACGGGTCGGTAGATTTTCACCTAAAACTAATCAGTATCATTATTAACTAATATCTTTCGAACAGTTTTTGAATTTTTAAAATCGATTCGATAGTATGAGCTTAAATGTGAACGAAAAGTTTACACTTTTTTTCAAATTACAAAGAAAAGGCTCGGCATATCGTCTCACAAAACTGACGAACGATAGTCCTCATATAGAGATACATAAAATGGCTTTTAAATTACTGAAATCGGTTCAGGCGTTTTTCAGAAAATGTCGATGAAAGGTCTAATTTTGACAAATGCCAAGAAAACGATACTAATTTTTGCAAACTTTGAAGAATTTTTAAAATTAAACTACTTGTCGCAGTGCCGTAATATTGCAGTATGATCTATAAGACTATAGTATCTACCGTAAAAAAAAATCATGAAAATCGTCAATTTTTTTAACACTTTATTACAAGAAAACGGCCCGGGCGATCTTTACCAAAAACTAATCAGCACGATTCCCAATCAATATCTTTCGAACGGTTTTTGAATTTTCAAAATCTATTCAGAACTGCGGACTAAAATGTGGACGAAAATTTTTTCACTTTTCTTCTATTTGAAAAGAAACGGCTCGGCAGATCGTATCACAAAACTGACAAACAATAGTCCTCATCGAGATATATCGAATGGCTTTTAAATTTTTGAAATCGGTTCATGCGTTTTGAGCAATTGCCGATGAAGGATCTAATTTTGACAAATGCCAAAAAAACGATACTAAATTTTTGCAAATTTTGAAGAATTTTTAAAATTAAACTACTTGTCGCAGTGCCGTAATATTGCAGTATGATCTATAAGACTATGGTATCTTCCGTCAAAAAAAATCATGATTAAGAACTGCGGACTAAAACGTGGACGAAATTTTTTTCACTTTTCTTCTATTTACAAAGAAACGGTTTGGCTGATCGTAGCGCAATATTGATAAACGCTAGTCCTCATCGCGATTCATCGAAAGGCTTTTAAATTTTTGAAATCGATCCAGCCGTTTTTGAGAAAACGTCGATTTACGGCAAAAAATCTGTTCACACACACACACATACTTTTTCCAAATGTTGGTCTCATTCGATTCAGAATAGCTTGAAACGTCTAGAAAACATAAAATTAGCGAATCGGATTTTTTGATGAAAACATAAACTTCTCCTTCGGGAAGTTAATAATAAACTATGAATTACCTCTTCTGTCGGTTTATCTGCATTATCTTGCTGTTTATTTTTCTTCGTTGTATTTGTTGAAGATTCATCTTCAGATTCACTCGACGAAGATTCGGCTCTTGCTAATTTCTCTCGGGCTTCTACTAACTCAGCATCTGGAGTAAAAATAAATATTAATATTGTAATTTACTAAATACATTTATATAAAAGTTTATTTGAACTAGTTGGTATTGGTATTTTGCCTTGAGGCAAGTTACATGAACTTCCCGATATGTGTAAATAATCGACTTAATCAATAAAAAATTAATTAATTTATGAGTGATTGAAAGTATTTCGAGTGGATTTATTACACTTGATTGAAACCAACAAGCACTCGGAGTATTTTCTAAAAGCAAATTTTCAAAAATCAACAATTTTTATAATTGAACCAGCTTCCGTAGGACTTTAATGGTTTAGTAGGTGCATTAAGACCAAGTACTCTATCGTTATACCAAATAAATAGTCTAATTTTAATTTTAACAAATGTCAAAAAAGCTACTCATTTTCTCAAACTTTGATGAATTTTTTAAATTAAATTACTTGTCGTAAGGCCGTAATATTTCAGTAAGTTCTAAAAGACCATGATATATATCGCCAAAAAAAAGTTCCATAAAAATCTGCTTAAAGGGTATGGGCGCGTTGCCATAGAGAATCGGCCCTACCCTGGTATTAAAATAATATAATATTAATATAAAACAATTTTATTATAAAATTTAAAAATCACTCAATGCATTGATTTAAATTAGTTGTAGTTGGACAATGGAAGACTGATGTCTCTAAACCAGCAAATTGACGTTCATTCAGCATCTCATCTAAATAGTTATACCCGTAACCATATTCACTTAAAATGCTTAAAATATCAACAACCCTGGAGTCTGAAGGTTCCTGTCCTGCATATATACGCCATTTTAAAGATATTTTTGAAAAAAAAAATCGTTATACCAATTTTCATCTTTGTACCTCATCTTATGGCCGAGATATCATTGAAAATATGCCAAAATATATCATTATTTTATATGCTCTTAAATCTTTTATCACTTACTCAGTTTTGTGACATGTTTATTCATCTTCTTGATAGTTAAATGAAGGATTTCCCAAAGGTAGAGTTTGGTAAATTCGCTCGTCATCTCTTTGGAAAATATCCAGGTGGCTACAGCAGAACATTCGACGATTTGTGTCTTCAACATTTTGTCCACAAGAATGCATATCATCTGCTGGTGGTTGCGCCAGAGCTCAAAGACATTTCGGAGAATACATATTTGGGCTTCCTCAGACTCTGCTAAAATCTGAAAACAATTTAAAAAGGAATTAGAAATCGAGATATCCAACAATGGTAAAAAATACATTTTTTAAGTTCCCGTAGGGTAGTTATAGTAATGGGGCGAAAATCGAAAATAAAAATTTTTGCATTTCTCGACGGTCTGAAGGTTTCTGAACATTTTACTGGCATACCTCAGAAACTAAATGGATGTGTGTGTGTGTTTTATATGTCCGCATTTTTCGTCCACGTTTTCGGGCGCACGGTTCAACCAATTTAAATGATTCATTTACCATTCGATTTCTATTGATAGGAAGATGTGCTGATTAGTTTTTGGCAAAGGCAGGTCCAGCCGTTACGGAGATACGGAGAGAAGAGTGTAGAAATTAGAAATCGAGTTTTTGAGAGAACGGTGTATCCGATTTGAATGATCTCAAAAACATTCAATTAGTAATGATTGGGAGAAGTGGTGATTAGTTTTTGGCAAAAACAGGTCCCGCAATTTCGAAGATATAAAGCTAAATGCACACAAAATGACAGTTTATGAGTGAACTCTAAGCGTCCGATTTGAACAATCTAAAAAGCTTTCTGCTTGTTTTGACAAAGCAATTGCTTTTGAGTATAAAAAATTATTATATATTTTTTTTATTTTCCATAAAATATTTTTGTAATTTTGGATTAACTAATGGGGCGCATATGGCATCGTGCCTTAAGACAAATTGCTAGAACTTCCCGTACTAAAAATTATTATTTTTAAAAAGATTAACATTTTTGAAAAAAAAATTACTCTGAAAATATTAGATTTTTGAGAAACTGTAAATTTTTGACAAATACTTACTTTTTTTTGAAAAAAAAAAGACTTTTTGAAGAAAAATGTATTTTTAAATATTTTGGAAATTCTGAACTTTTTTTCAAAGCAATCGTACTGCTTTAACTGCATAGAGGCAAAATATCGAAGCGTGTAAGCGCCGCGCCGCCGTCTTACGGATAAACATTGGTACAGAACCCATAAGAATGTAAACAAAATATATACTTATTGTTAAAATCTCTATAAATATAAATATAAAATATCTGATAATTTGATGTGCATATGTCTAATGATCATTTTTACCGCCAAATGGTATTTTTTTTTACTTTTATCATTAGATCTCCGAAACCGCTAGACCTACCTTCATGAAAATTTGATCAGTTCTTCATCTTGTTAATACAAATAAAATGTTTTTTGAATTATTCAAATCGGACGCTCCGTTCGCTTAAAAACTGAGTTATCGTTTTTGGCACTTTTTGCCCCATATCTTCGGAACGGTTAGACCTGCCTTTGCCAAAAACTAATCAACACGTCTCCTTATCAATACGAATCGAATGTTTTTTGAATTATTCAAATCGCTTTATCAGTGTTCCCGAAATCGTCGATGAAAATTTGTATCCGAACACACACATACATCCATTTTTTATAAGGTATGCCAAAATGTTCAGAAAGTTTTGAAACGTAAAGATATAAAAAAAATTTCTTTTTTTGCAATTACTATAACTTGCCCTACGGGAAGTTAAAAATTCGAAAAATTACCCAAGCTAAGCACAGTATAAGTAAAAATGTCGCACAGAATTATTTGCAAACGCGTTTAGACTGTGACTATACGGGAGCACTTTTTCAATTTTGTGCAAATTAGGCATCTTGCAAATTTTTTTGAAATTGAATTCGAAATGAAATGACGAATGTTAATGTTCTGGAGATAAATTGATTTATGATTTACATTTGATTTGCTCAGATATAACAATAATGCAAAAATAATGAAAGTTACACTATTTGTAATGATATATTTGAAATCGGTTAAAATTTCTCGAATATTTCATTACGGTACGGAAAGTTGCAGCAATTTGCCTTAAGGCACGATGCCATACACCACTAGCTTAATCCATTATCCCTTACCTTGAAAACATAATGAAACTTCGATATGGCAGCAAAGCTGTGCGAAAAACTCTTCGACCCCAAATTCAGCAGAGTTTGTACAAACACATCGATCTTGAGAGGATTGTACGGAGACTCTCCTGGAGTCTCGACGGGTTCGCCGCCTTCTTGCCGAGGATTAGGCAAATCTTTGAGCACATTGAGCGCCTCTTCCGGGGTGCACTTTTGGCGAATGGCGACTACCAGCTGAAGGGCGGTTTTTGTACCGGGAAGGGAAGCTAAAAAAAGAATATGACAACTATTATTAACACTATTCCTACCGGGACCGGTCAAATGACCGTTTTTGATATTTCGATTAATATTTTTCATATCGAACGTCATCAAACTTTATGTCTTTCCCTAATATGTGAGTATGATACATTTTTCAATGCAAATTTGTTTTTGCCTTTTTTATTTTTGGAAAAAAAATTGTATACTGTCTTAACTACCGCGACCGGTTATTTGACAGTTAGTACGAAAGACGATGTTCGGACGGCATTTTTTGTAGTAATTGTTAAGAAAATGATCGAACTTACAAGAAAATGTAAATTCAGAAGAATTTAGAGTGGTAAATACAGCCTTCTACAAATTTATATGCATTTTTTCTAATTCTGTATGCACGCTGGGCATATGAGACCAAGAGTATAAATATTGCACTTCTACGGTATAAAAAGTGGGTTTTCTCATTTTCCAAACAACAGATTGATAGGTTTTGTTTTGAATCCAAAGGTTGGTTCAACTACATTGACAGCAATCAAAATTGTTGTAAAAGATCACGTATCACTATCGACAAACATATATTTTCAATAAAGGTAAGGTGTAAATTAGTTCAACACATGTTCAATAATATTCAGGAAAACGTAGTATAAAATTTTAGTAACTGTTCAATATATGATGTAAATATTAGGTTGTCAAATATCTCCCTTCCGCTTTTTTGCTCTTGGTTTATAATACAAAAAGTCGGAAGGGAGATATTTGACAACCTTATATAATTATGCTCAGCAAATCGCACAAATGGGGTGTAAAATTTTGATAACCATCCAGTATACGCAGAAAACTGAGAATTTCTTTGAGGATTTATAACTAATGAAACCGTATTATCAAAATCCGTAGTACGATGTAAAAAATTTAAACGCTTTTGCCATTCTACTTATAGCTAAACTTTTAGTGATGGTAGATACAATTGAATTGAATATAACAGCTACAAATACTGATAGAACTAAAAATCAAGGACTTCGCTCAAATAATTTTTACAATTTTGGAAGCTAAGAAAGAAGATTCTAATTTTCACTTACATACACATATGCTGAAAAAATGCACTAATACAAGAGTCAATACAATTGGTATTAGCGTCGTATTTGGTGTAGATGACATTCATAAAGTAGTCAGAAACCATTCGGTAAAATATGAATTTTAGAGAGAAATTATCAAGAATTTACATTATTTTGTATTTATTCAGGATAAATCCATTGTTTTCACATAAAGAAATTACGGGAAGATGATGTACAAGGCAGGAACTTTTCATTTCAATTAACTTCCCGTATAGTTCCAACAAGAATTCAGAAAAAAAAATCAAACAAGTACAAATACAAAACAGATTCCTTAAAACAATATATTCCAGATAATGTTTGAGAAAGATGATAGGGCGAACAAAATCAGCCAAAAAACGTAAAAAATGCGTGTGCAGACAATACACTCTAAGAAAAAAATCGTAAAAAATTAGATAAAACAGAATAAAATGTAGATTTCGCATTCTAAAATAAAAGAAATGTTTTGTATTTGTATTTATAAACTCTTAAACTAGCATTAGCTCTTCATTCAATACTGAAAAATATAGATTTTGCAGAACCGGTCGCGGTAGGAATAATAAACATGAAATGTCGGTAGGAATAGTGTTAATATATTAAATT